TCATCGAACGTTGTTATTTTTAGTCCTGACCTCCATTTTGAAGTACGTGAATAGTTCTTGATAGAAGTCATGGCAGGTGCTGGCCGGCGTCTTTTGGTGTGAAGCGAATGGTTGCTGAAATTTCTTTCAATTACAGTTCTTATATACTCATACTGTTGTACCTTAACCTCTCGTTCATAAGCGATGAGTTGATTTATTTCATAGGAGAGAGGTTCCAACAGATGGGTGACCCATCCTTCCTTAGGTAAAGAGACATGACCGGCTTACTATTTAAAAAGAACCAAATATAAATTTATAACATATTTCACATCAAATTTCTGAATTAGTTTTCTAAATTCTTTGCTGGAGTTTCTAATATCTTCCACACGAATCATCCCGTTTTTTCTTACATTCTGTTTTAATTTTTAATTTTTCAAGCTCCAGTTCCTTCTCATCTTTTCTTCTCTTCGACTGCGATTTCCTCTTTCAGTCTTTCTTCTTCGATTGCTCCTTTTCTTTTTTCAGTCCAAAGGGGCTTTGTCCCTGAAGGACTATTCTTTTCGTTTTGCGATTTTGCGTTGAATCACTATAAACGGCTTAGTTTTCAAACTTTTGCCGCCAAATGTTAGAGTCCTGCATTATATTTGCAGAAATTAAATAATGAAACATCTATATTAAATGTATGTACACTTCTCGCATTGTGATAAAACCACGGTACCCTAGACCATCGAATTTTGATGACGTGATCCCGCCTTACGCATATGGGCATGTGGAAGACCAAAATTTGAATTAATAATTTGTTTATTATCATTTCATATTTTGGTAGAAACTTTAACGAATTTTGAGTACCAAACTCAACGATTTCAAAGCGAAGCAATGGCAACACTCTAACGGGAGGGGACATTTTTTATCTCCAACGTGCGGAATTGTTGTATCGGAATTTCTACAATAGTGCTCATTTAAAATATTTTGGACATTGCTATTGAACTGAATTTTATGGTTAAGTTATTAAATAGCAATGATCTTAATAAAAGGGTACACAAAAACGTTAAAAAAAACGCCCTTTTGGACGTAATTTAGAATCTGAAACCTTTGAGATTTTTCTATTGTTGTATTTAATTGTTGTTTGCAGAAATTTTTGAAATAATCTTTGCTACTGAAGATACCTTTCTTGAAATCTATAACTTTCAAATCCTACTGCGTGTCTAAACCTAAATCATCAGCTAAAGATTTTAAATCTTCCTTAAAATCTTTCGCTAAATACGACATTTTAGACTAAAGTAATTTTAATCTGAACCACAATTTAAATTAGTTGACTATCAAGGTAAAAACATAAACGCAAAAATCAAAACATCTGAATAGATTATTTTCAAATTAGACGCAGTGAATAAAAACTCGTGCCACATGAACCATCCAATAAACATGTGCCACTGAAATAAATGAAATTAGAAGAAATTCAGAGTAAAACAAATTATTATTTTTTAAGTTACACCCTTCGATAACCTTGTTTAAATTACTTTAAAAAATAACCATTGATAAATATCGTTCTCTGAGAACCTTTGGTTCTATGAACATATACATTGAATCATTTTTTAAATTAGAACAGATTCATTATAAAACAAGTCTTTTCTCTTTATAACTTATACTATCCATAATGTTTGTTTAAATTACTTCAAGAAAAGCAATCAATGGTTAATATTACTTCCTTAGAACTTGAGTGTCACTCTGGCAGAATAAGAGAAAAACTATTTAATTTGCTGTAATATTAATAAGAGTGAAAATTTTAATTAAACTACAAAAACAATTAGTTTCTTATCTTGTGCTTCGATTGTACTTTCACAAAATCCAGCAAAAGCTCTTGAAATAATTTTTGGATCTGTGCCTTGAAGGAAGTGCATTAAACTGAAACGATCATTTGGGCAAGATTACCCTTCTAAATTTCACTTTACGTAGATTCGAATATAACGCTGATCAGGCTTGCTTCGCTTTATTTCACTAAACCTAGAACACTTGATGGCGTGTATGGAATTAATAACTGTTTTTAACTTGAAGATTCTTTCGAATTAAATAAAGATACCAGAAAGAAAAACGTTCCTTCTCCAAAACTGACAAGTTTCCATTAAAATAACACAGAATTGAAAAAATTCACTTATCACATTCTGTCTTTTCGACCAAGCATCTAAAAATATATGTTGTATGGTTCGGTCAGGGATATTTTACGTTTTGATCAATAATCCTTCTTTTAAAAACATTTGTATTCCCAAGAATTATAATACTCATATTCTTACAGATGAAAACTGTTATCGGAACCAACCACTCTCAATAGCGTCAACAACAAGACTATAAACTCAAAACAGAATGTTACATCTTTAGGATTCTATCACGGGATTTTCTTTCGGAATGTTTCCGAGAAATTCAAGCGAAACATAAATGGACAGCTAATGTTTAATATCTACATGCATAATCATATTGAAAGATGTAAACATTGTTTTGTTCAACTGCCACTGCAAGTTTTGAGTAATGTTAAGTCCTTTCACTACTGGAAACTGTGACTAGCTTTTTTTGGTACACGTTAAGCGACTTATTGCTATGTCTGAAGTACAACAAACATTTGAGAAGGGTGTAAAAGACTCTTTCTTTAAAAATTTTAAGATGAAAAAAAAGCACTCCCGGTACTTATAAGTCTGCCAGCATTTATAACAAGAAACTCGAAGTATAAATTCAAAAGTAAAGATGTATTTAAATAACAAACAGCAAAGGCTACTCATACCAAATTAACGCGAAGTTAGCTCGGACTTCACGGCCGTAAACGGTCTATCGGTAAGTATAATATAAGGCCGAAGAAAGGGACTCATATCTTAGAATAACAAAACTAGTAATGAGGCCTTCAAGAGACAGAACACGCTCTGTTTTAACAATCTCAAACCCACACTCTAATACACCCGAACTCATTTGCATTCTGGCGGAAAATAGAAAGAGAGAAGTGACAGTACAGATTCAAAGCATAAAATAACTGGTTATTTAAATTATGCGAGCGAATTTTAAAGCATAAAATAACTGGTTATTAAACCTGTCAAAAAAAGAAAATTGTCCGTTTCCTTTTCCAGTTGGATGGGTGGTACATCTTCATACTGAAAGATGTAAACATACTAGTTTCACAGAGAGGCATTTTTCTTTCAAGCATATTTTTTACATTAGGGAGCACTCATTTTTACTTCCTTGTACGAAGTAAAAAGGAAGTATTGAATCGCGAAAATTCCGGGTACCATATTTCAATGAAAATATCCATTTCGACCGCTATCGAATGTAAATTAACGACGTTTTTGCGTAACATTTGTACATAAGGACAGAATAAAGAATTGACTCTTTTTCCACAAACGAAGTATAAAACTGATTTAAAATGGATTCAAAAGAGATTTTTTCCGTGGCGTCTGTATGTATCTCTCATAACTTAAAAGCGCGTAGCCTCAGAACGTTGAAATTTTGTATATACGACTGCTATAACATGTAGATTGTGAACATCGTATTTTGGTTGCCAATCGGCCGCACCAAACGTATATAAAATATATGTATATATATAGTATATAACCACTCTGTTACTCTGCTCAGTAATCTCAGTTTCTTTATTCTTATATATTTGTAAATTGTGCATTTTTTTTTGCTTTAAAAAATGATTGATTAGTGTTCTTATCTTCCGGTTACGGTTTTATGCCTTTGTAATCGCATGCTATTTGTGGGAGTTATCACAATTTAAAAGTTTTAAGTGCAGCTAAGCCTAACTAATTTTATGCTGGCGGATATGTTTGTTTACATTTCAAACTGGTAAAATGCCGATTTGTTGCCAATCTAGAGAAACTAAGCTTCGCAACAACAAAGATAACGCCTTCTTTTTATTATTGCGAATTAAATATGTTTAAATCCATTCTGGAATGTATCGAGGAAATAAGTGTTTAAGATTACTTCGTAATTTTTAAATATACATATTTTTGAGTTTTTATGTATTTTTGCCTTGTCGCCAAGTGAGAACTGAATTCATTGAATGAGAAATACTGAATCGTCTATGAAAAACTGTTTCTTTTTTGTTTTGTTTGCTTAATATCTTTTATACATCGTTTTAGATTTATTATAGCATTTGAATAGAACATGTGGCAACGATTAGATAATTCTTCAAACGATATAAATTTATATGCATGCTGAATTATAATATGAACGAAATATAACGCTGTTAAGTGAACTTAGCGCCAGAGTGTCTCTATGGTAAACAAATATAGTGAATTTTAGAGATTGATTTTAATTTATTGTATTTTATGCGCTATCGACGAAGTAGATTTAATTTAATCCAATAAGTTTAAATTAAATGCAAGGGAAAATGCGTATAATTTAATATTCCGTCCAAGGAAGTCATGGGGTGTACACATAAGGTTTTTTTCTTCTAGCATGTGAGGTCTGGATATCCGCTGGCCTGTACTTTATTCTTCTATACGCTGAGATACAAATTTAGACCATAACTGCAGTAGGATGTTTTATTGTTGCTGAAAATATAGTATGAGTTTAATCTTTCATTGTGTTAGCATCATATAAATGTGCCTTCTTTTATTGGATGTCAGGTAGTATGGTTTCATCAATTCAGATAACTTTATGCATTAGAGTTATTTAATTAATATATTTCGAATTAAGACATGTGTAAACATCGAGCGTTTAAATATATGCATGTACAACTAATTGTTAATGTTGTTAAAATTAAATTTATTATATGCAGCACATGCTGAAAAATCAAATATTTATGGCCAAATCCAGGAGAATAGAAAAATAAAAATAAAGCTTTTAATATCCATATTGCACATTACGCAGCGAGAAATTTTTCGTCACTTAATAATAATAATAACTGTGGCACATAACTCATAAGATATTTAAGAATGAAAAGGGAAATTTTGTGTCACTTTGTGTTAGAGGAAGAAAGAATAAGTTTACTCTCATCGTAGATAAATTTATGCACAAATGTACTAAGAAAGAGGCCAAAACAGGTTTAAAAATTTTATTTTGAAGAAGATGCTCCTTGAAGAATACATACCAGCTTTCAAATTTTACATGTAATAATTTGCGCCATCCTTCAATAATAAAACCAAATTATATAACTACTACAACCATGTATCGTAAGAAAGTAGTAAAAAATGGTTTCTGAAAATTTGATTTATTAATTTTTCTACCAAATCCGGCACTTATTTTGTCGATTCATAGCTGAATCTGATGAGCAGCGAAATTCTTTGGCAAATTCTGGTAGATTAGACATAGCTCCGTTTACTCTGAAATTTAAAACATAATTTTCAATGTTGTACTCTGGATATGATTTCAGTTATCTAGTACTGTTCTTAAAAAAGTAGTTGATAAAAAATACTTCAAAAAGTATTTTTTACTTTTTTCCAGATAGGAAATATTCAGAATGATAAATTCAGAATAATATGTAAAATTTGAAGGGAAATGCAATGTTTTCTGTTCAAAATAATTTTGATAGTCGTTTGAGAAAACTTTGTTTAAATTCTCTGCCAGTAGTTTTGAAATATATTAATATTAGAACTGCTTAATTAATATATTTCAAATGATGAGATGCAAAGATAGAACACTTAAATATATGGGACTGCTTAAATTTGGGATTAAATGCAACGGCATATATTTAAGCATATACGCATGACACTCACCTGAACTGTCCTGGGCTATGGTCGTCATACTGAAGAAAATACATAAGATGCTCTGGTAGGTTTTTCTCACAATAGATCTAGAAGAGTTTAATGTAATACTTATTTTTTCTAGAAGTCCTCATGTTTTCAATAAGTCAGATATAAATGTTACTAAAAATATATATTTATGTTGTTTAGGCATCTATTGATAATTATACTAGTAAATTTATTGTTCGCATATGTTCATAGAATGTAAGGCTTCTCAGTTTCACAAATATTAAATATTTCATACCTATCAAGTAAATTCGTGAGTTTGAGATTTTCTCCACTTAGTTTATAACCCTTGTTTTACGCTGGTATCCAAAATGAGGAGAATTTTCATATTTGTTTGATTATCTCCACAACTAATGAGCAGATTTTAATGACATTTGATATGGACATAAGTTGATAGAATACAAAACGATACCATGCAGCAGTCACGGTACACATGCATGATCGTTCATAAGACTCTTGGAAGCTGGAAGGTCTAAAACCGAGCTTGCAAGGTAGAAAGAGGATAATAGAAGATAAGATTCTCCTCTAACAGTCATACAGCTCTCAGAACGGAACTTTCTGTAATAAATGACCCAATTTATGAATTCTTGGGGCAGCCATTCTTACTCACGCAGCAACGTTCTTTTCAGGTCGTGGAAATATCTGGGTTGAGAAAGGCTGGTTGCTCTCTCACTTGCATATCAGACATGTGCACAGGACATAAGATCTAGTTCTAGATCTGTCTGGCAATCCAGCTGGCTAACAGCCTTACTTTCAGAAAATCTCTCACTGGATTAGTTCTAAGCGGAAGATGGTTGTCATTCATAAAAATGAGCTGAGGGTCACCTGCAACGGCTAAAATGCGAACATAGAATTTTGTTGTTTATGCTGCTTGTGTAGACGTTATTTTATACATGAGCTGTTTATAAACTTGAAGTTAAATGAAATGCTTATAGAATGGTGCTAAATGCAGTAGAATAAAGTAGAAAGCTATAAGAAGAACCATTTGCACTTCGAAGCTAAGGTTCACAAGCTAATTCTTACACTATTTCGAAAACTTTGATTGTTATACTAGTTTCAGAGTTATAAAGGATGTTACAGATCCAGTATCATTTCATATGTTTAGAGGAACGGTTTTGCATATTTTGAAAAATTTAAAGTAAATCATTTGATCAAATGTTTTCTGGTCAGAAGTAATATCTAGCTGCTAATCCTAGATATACTAGATATACAAGGCTTCTTATATCTACTATACTAGATATACAAGACTTACTTGTGCTGCGCTGATGAAGAACAGCTGATTTGGTGTATACTTCAATCCTGGTAGCATTTTCTCTGTTTTGTGAATTCTCACCCACGACTGATAGGCCTGCAGAAATTTAAGGCGCGATTAACAAATAATATATTGTAAATAACAGTATGGCGGAAAACATAACTGGCATTCATTTTTGTGTGAAGAAGTAAGCATTCATAGTCTTCTCTCATAAGATAAATAAAGTTGTTTGAAAAATTTAGGTTTTTATTGCTCTCATTTTTAAAATTAACCATAGAAACTACTTGTTCCAACGCTTCGTTTAGTTTTTTAGCATTGTCTTTACGACAAGTACTTATCGTAGCAGAAAACAGTGATAAAATATTGTTTTTGCATTAAGACTTGCATCTATAATGTCTGTAACTGATTACATCATAGATACTGCTCCGTCGGTACAAATAACGACACCTTGATCCCATGATGGTTTTAAAGCATTCAAATATGATGTTATCGCGTCACTTAAGTCCTGGACAGTAGCACTTTACAAAAGTTCTTTGCAACATAAAAATTGATTTATTTTCCTCTGTTAATAAAGCCTAAAAAGAGGGGCGACTTGCCACATATATAATTTGATTCGTGTAGTTGCAATGCAAAGGGGATACTAACAAGTGCACCCGCGACTGGTCTTTTAATACTGCAAGACATGCTTTAAATTTGTCTGCAAACTGCATCATGAGATAGCGTAATCTTCAAAATTTCCCTCTTTGTCTCTTCCTCAAATTAAATTGTCACTATTTCACAACAGACAAGTAAAATGTGAGATTCTGCTGTCGCGTGTGGCTTTGATTTAATGCTACTAATTTAGTAATTTTATACGACGTAAATTGAGTATTATCGTTTACTTTCACTGTTCTTTTAAATTGTCTTCTTTGCCTACCTTATGATTTTAAAAGCCTTTAGAAATATTCTTTATTTTTTGATGAAAGATTTTTATATCCAATCAAAAAAAAAAAAAAAAAAATGATACTTTCATTTAATGAACACCGTCGCGCTATTGGCATTCCACGTACACAGCATAGAAGAGTTGGACATTGTATTTACGGTTCGGGTCAATCAGAATTTTATCTGTTTTTCGTCATAGAAGCAAATAGAGTTTCAAATTGGTTTCTTAATTTTTATCTCTTCTGCATCGTCTTCAGTTCCAGTAATACTAGTCGTAGCATTGGCATCACTAATATCAAGGAGATTTCTTTATGATGAAATTATCCATTGCTTATAAAAGTGTTTATGAAACATATAAAAGTAATTGATAATATGATGGAAGACTTTAATTCAAAATTCAAAGATAGCATTACTGGAAATAAGCTAAATAAACCACATTGATTGCTCAGAATTCAAATGTGAACAACACAGGCACACCAATGTATCACACTGTAAAATTAAAATGAACTGGCTTACCGGTGGAGAGACGTCCCCTTTTGTTTGGTGAAAAGTACACTGCACTGTTAACTCGAAGTCCAGAATCGATCATAATCCTTTCAACCCTTTGATACACTCCCTTTCCTTAAGTTCTAGCCTCCTTATTCTTAACACCCCTTTTTGTTATCCAGCCTTTTTTATTCCGTTATGTTCCCTTTTGTCAAAACTTTCATTAATACTATCAACTTTCAGATTCCCTTCCCGGATACCTGCACATGCAGCCCCTTCTCTGACAATCACTATGACATAATCTGCATGATTGTTTCATAAAACTAGTGTATGACATCATTTCCCACAGTAATAAGATGTGTATTAAGTTCACATACTGCATACATAACACTAAAACATTTAATTGACATTCGCGCTTTCTGATTACAATCTCATACAAAAATTATTTTACATTTTATTGATATTTCTTTAGAAGCAATTTTTAACTGTGTATTTGAATTTTTCGTGAAACACTTGAAGTGGCTGCATGAAGCACTAATGTTCCGCTAACCACGGACTGAGAATCATAGATATAGAGACAGTATAGATCCAAGGATCTATGACTTCCGCGGAGCCACTCGACGCTGGCAAATGTGGAAGAGTTATAATTCTTGAATCGTCTTATTAGAGCTCTTTTACTCTTTGCATTAATGCTTCTCGCATCGCCTTTGCAGTTCAACCCATAAGACATCGCTGGGAGCGATCCTCCGGTAAAACACGAAAGCTTTGAACAACTGCGAGGACATAAATTAACAACCACTCCACATTCACCACAGATCTATTCTCTGTAATAGTATCAGAGTTGGTGCACTTCAGGTTTGCATTGATCAGAAGAAGCTTCATTTGCACACACGTTTTACGAAACTAAAATTTCGCGTTAAGGAACATGAAGCGTATGTTAGAAAAATAAAAGTCCTCTGTTGTTTTTCTGTTCTACTTAAGGACCCTAATTCTAATACATATTTGCCTTCAGCCTTTAAGGAAATTATGTTTTAGTTCTCGTTTCTCAATAGATGACACCGATAGTTTAACTCCTGTCCATCCATTCTTATTTTATCTTTTCATTTGCGCTTTGTTATACATTTGCTCTTTGGCAGCTGAGGATGATGGTTCGATAAAAACCATCGAGACTAGTCCTGTGAAAATTTGCAAATATGACGCTGATTTTTATTGTTTGACTTTTAAATGAATACTCTTTCGGCGTGTTATTTTATCTTAGTTAATGGGTATTATATTCAAGTATAAAACAGTGGGTAATATATTCAAGTATATTACCCACATTCACCCTCGCAACGGCTGCAGAGCGGTCGACGCGCGAGCAAATTTTTCATTATCGACAAAAATCTTTTAAAAAATTGAGTTATTAAAAATGTGTTAAATAGTGAATTGTGCGAAAGTCGAAGCCCGACTGTAACTTGTTTTGATGCAACTAACAGGAACCGAATCCGAGATGAGTCATGGTAACCTTCTAACGATTAACTTTTGAAGATATACAACAATAACTACATTCAATAAATACGTTCTATTTTATTACACTTTAGTTAAATTTAACATTTAGTAAAATTTCTGTGTTAAACCTTTGATTACATTGCTAGTAATCTTCTATATTTCTGAACTTAATGTTTCCTTTCACAGAGTATTTTAATTACTCGTATATTTACATTGCATTAAATTTTTGTTCTTTATATTTTGAATTCGGCGCAATTTTACGGTTTCTTAAATTTCGAACAATTTTCTTACCAAATAAGCTGCTTTTAAACCTGCATTGTCAGCAATGTTATCGGGTTGTGTATTAAGGCCATTTACCTGAAAAAGATATTATTGTTTCAATTAAAGTAGAACTCTAAAATTCCGGACTAGCTGAGATAAGAACTTATCTTGATAATAAAAAATTCTGCGTAGTTGGGTTACCTACATTTCCTATACCTAAAGTACACATTCAATAATGTAGGTTAGAACGTTTTATTTTTTTTTTCAGTTGTATTATATCTGAATGAATAGTATATAGTTAAAAAAAGTAAGATATTTTTCTGAAAAATAAAGTATAAAATCCATTTTCTTTAAATTATTACTTTTTGTTTGCCTAAGCGAGTAAACAACTTTTATTTCAAGCAAATAAAACATCAAAAGTAAACTTTATTTACATAAACATTTATTTTGCTTTAAACTTTTATTCACTGAAATAAAAATAATAATAAAAAAAAAGAATTTATTATTATGGATCTAAAACGAAATGCAACATGTTTTTATCCAACATAAATTTAAGCAAGTTATTATTTCTTATTATGGGAACAATATTATTAGCAAACATATTATTAAATTTGAATTTTTAAATTAGAAGGATGGTTGGTTAATTGTTATTTTGGTACTAAACTTCAGTCGTTATTTACACTAAACGGGGCGTAATAGACTAAACACAGCATTATTAGATAAAGTATTAGATTAAGATAATTATAATTATTAGATAAAACATTATTAGATAAAGTATTAGAAGATAAAGTAATAGCATTATTAGTAAAGTTATTAAAATCTACATTACCATGAAACCAAAGATGGCGATATATACTGATAAAATTATAAAATATTATTATTATTTTTTATGTACAAAATGTCTTCGAAATAACCAGGATATGTATATGACGCCGTGGATTTTATAACAATCAATGAAAGAGTTTTCAATAAGCCCAGAACTACGAAATTCTTTCATATTGTTACGGATTCGGTACTTAAAAAGCTAATGTTAGTTCAATTATAAATTAATTGGTTTTATTTCCCGCGCAGTGCAGCGCGTGACGAATATTAAAAGAAGAAAGCTAAGCCGGAAAATTAAAAATACAAGAGCGCGTGCATTAAATAAAATAAATATCTCTTTTTGATTTCGAGAAAGTACTGGAAAATTCTAGCGCGTGATTTTAAAAGCTTATAAAAGGAGGAAAACATCTCAGTTTGTAGTAGTTGCTTAGTTTGTTGTTGTTTAGAAAACTGCTCTTGTTGATTGTAGCGAATTCGCGGATTAGCGTTCTTTAGCTGTTTTGAATTACGTTCTATTGGACATTTGAGTAGTTAAAAGATAACTACTGTGAGATATTGTAAATACTGCATGATAATTTGAGAAAATTTAAGCATTTTTGTTATGATAATAATAAATTTTTGTTCATTTTTCATCGGACTTGTGCATTCATTTCATAACGAACCCGTACGCACGCAACAATTTTTGGTGTCAGGAGTGGGGTTTGAATGCCAATAACAAGAGCGATGGAAGAGCAATTAAGGCAGTTAATATCAGCCTTTGCCTCATTTAAAGAAGAAATGCAATTGGGCCAGGAATCCGTTAAGGACGAAATGAAAGCCGTTCAAGCTGGTCAAGAAAAGATTGAAGCATGTCAAGAAGAAATGAAAAGAGAAATTACCTGCATAATAGAAAGTAAATTTGAATCTATGGAAGGGAGAATTGACACAGTTGAAAATAAAGTTGGACAAATTGAAGAAAAAGTTTCTTTCGTAAAAGATCAAATTGAAGAAAGAGTTTCTTCGGTGAAAGAAGAAATAGAAAAAAAGTTTCTCCTGTAAAAGAACATATAGAAGGGAGAGTTTCGGCTGTGGAGGAACGAATTGAAGGAAGAGTTTGTGCCGTCCAACACCAAATCGAACAACAAATTGATGAGAGAGTTTCTGCAGTTGCCAAAGAAATGGAAACTTATTAAGAAAGAAATTCGTAGCGACGGCAGGGAGCAAGAGTGATGATTTTAAATTCTTACCGATGCCTGCTCGTCCATTTCTGAAGCTATCCATATATGATGGGAAGACATCCTGGCAAGTGTACAAGACCCAGTTTTCTATCGTTGCGGATGCGAATGAATGGGATTCCCAAGCTAGATGGCCTGTCATCTCGCCGCTTCTTTAAGAGCCGACGCAGCGGATATCCTTCAGACTCTTCCCGAAAACAAAAGGTTAGATTTCGAAGCTCTGTTCCGGCGCCTTGGAGCTGCGCTTTGGGGAGAAGTGTTTTAAAAGACTACAGCAGGCTCCAATTAAAATCTCCGTCAACAGAAGCCTCACCGAATCACTTCAGGAGCTCGCCACGGATGTTGAAAGGCTGTCCCATCACGCCTTTTTCGGAGTGCCCGACAGAAACAAGGGAAATCCTGTCCCTGCAATACTTCATCGATGGAATCTGGGATCCCGAAATACAGAAGGCTCTACGAATGGCAGATGTAAGGATGTAAAAAAGCGCTCTGTTTGTACGCCATGAAATTGGAGGCAGCCCAGCAAGCAACTCGGAGAGATAGCAGGACTCGCAGACTCGGAGAACCCAGTCAGAGCTGTGCGAGTCCACGAGCCAGGGGATTCCAATTGATGGCTCGTTTAGATGATTTATCCAGACAAGTCGACGCTTTGATAAGGAGTAGCAGTGAGAACAAAGTGGCTGTAAGGTTTGTTGGAGATGTGGTTCTGAAGGTCACCTACGACGGCATTGCAGAACACCCCAAGGAGCACGGATAATAAAACGGAATGAGTTTGACAAGACCAGTGAATGCTTTAAGACGGAATAGTGGTGAAAACGAAACCGACCCTAAAGTGCTGGAATTGCGGTGTTGAAGGCCACCTACGAAGGAACTGCAGAACTCCCCAGAGCACGGAAAATAAGGCATACGATTTAAACAGACAATTAAATGCCACGGGAAGGAAAAGGACTGACAAGAAACCAAAGTGCTGGAACTGTGGAGCTGAAGGCCACGTACGAAAGAATTGCAGAACACCCCAGGGTACGAAAAATTGAGACAATTTCTGAGCAACGACGCAGGAAACAAATTAATGACCATATCAAGGAACGGAGTTTGCCAGATAATGAAAAACCCTGTTTTAAAGCGCTTAAGATCTCTATAGTGAGTGGCAACAATAACGGACTGTCCATCAATGGGAATATCGATGGAGTTCCTTGCAATATGATCATTGACACAGGAGCTAATGTTACCATCATTAGGAAAGATTTAGCTGAATAGTTTAAAGATAAACTTATTTGGACGCCATCCTGTGTTACCCTTCAGACTGCGTCTGGTGACAAGATCGACATAACTGGGAAGTTAAACGTAAACATCACGTCTGGAAGTGCCGCCTACTATCACACGGCATATGTGGCGGATATTACAGATCCATGCATACTCGGATTGGACTTTTTAAGGAAATACAATTTTTCCTTAGATTTCAAAAACAATAAGCTGCTTTCAGCATCTGATGGCATGACTATCCATCCTCAAAAGGGATCCTCGCCTGGAAATGTCGACGCCTTGTCCGAAAGATCGAGCTCGGGAAGCTGCCGAAATCATACCAGGGTCGAAAAGAAACGCAAGACTACCAGCTATTCTCCATCTCAGAAGCTCTTTGGTCAAGACCTTCGTCTGCCTTGTGACCGCCTGTTTAGTCGCCCTACGGATGCCCCTTCATCGCCTGAGGAACACATCCAAGATGCCCAGGCCCGGTTTGAGAGGATGCATCGTTCTGCACGAAAGCAAGTCAACTTGGCGACGGAGAAAATGAAGACCCGATGCGACACAAGAGCTACTAGACATAGATCTAACAAAGGAGACAAAGTGTGGTTGTGGAACCCGATTCAACGATAAAGACTGAGTCCTAAATTACAGTCACCTTCGGATGGTCCATATACAGTGCTGAACACGAATGACGTCGTGGTTCGGATCCGTGAATCTTCGAACTCTTACGACAGGTTAGCTCATTACTATGGCCATAGTACGTAATGTAAATAATTGTAAATAGTGTAAGACCATGGTCCTTTTTGCTTCTAAATGTGTATTTAATAATTGATTTGTATTTTGCATTTGATTTGTATTTGTATTTGATTGTTTATTATGCATTTATTGTTCATGTTGTTTATTATTGTAATGTAATGCTTATTTTTGCATTCATGCTTTAGTTGTAAGTTTGGCTTCCAGTCCAGGGATTGTACTGCCCGGGACGTGCAGTCCTTGGAAAGGGGGCAGTGTTACGGATTCGGTACTTAAAAAGCTAATGTTAGTTCAATTATAAATTAACTGGTTTTATTTCCCGCGCAGTGCAGCGCGTGACGAATATTAAAAGAAGAAAGCTAAGCCGGAAAATTAAAAATACAAGAGCGCGTGCATTAAATAAATAAATATCTCTTTTTGATTTCGAGAAAGTACTGGAAAATTCTAGCGCGTGATTTAAAAAAGCTTATAAAAGGAGGAAAACATCTCAGTTTGTAGTAGTTGCTTAGTTTGTTGTTGTTTAGAAAACTGCTCTTGTTGATTGTAGCGAATTAGCGTTCTTTAGCTGTTTTGAATTACGTTCTATTGGACATTTGAGTAGTTAAAAGATATACTGTGAGATATTGTAATACTGCATGATAATTTGAGAAAATTTAAGCATTTTTGTTATGATAATAATAAATTTTTGTTCATTTTTCATCGGACTTGTGCATTCATTTCATAACGAACCCGTACGCACGCAACAATATGTTATCCAAACGATAAATGGGCTTTAACAAAGAACGATGACGAATTTTTTTAAGCGACATATTTAATATTATTTTTAACTAATTTATAATTTAATTTTTTTTTTCATGAGCTTGCTTGGAAAAGCGATTTCTAGGATGGTACATCAGCTCTAAGTGAGCTCTAATGTGAACTCTAATTCTCCTTTCAGTACAAATTCGTAATTTAGTTATTAATTTGTTTATGAATATCCTTTCCTAATGCTGAAATGAATTTTTTGAGAAGATATTAGGTTTAATTCTATGAAATTATTTTGAATTTTTATAACTGCACTGT